CAAAGTTGGGTTGAAACAACCCAGCATTTTTTTTAGAGTGTATATATATACATATGGATACATATTTACATATATACTTATATATTGTTTTTAATATTTTTTATGTAATGTTTATTTGTTTTTTTATATGTAGTTTCAATTGTAATGTGTTAATGTTTATATTTAAAATATGTTATGTACTTATCTAGTTATAAATGTAATTTTTTGTCTGTTTAAATGGGAAATGTGCGATCCTCTCTCCAAACCCATATTTTCATATCTGATTCCCGTACAGCAGGCAGGTCCAGTCGACGAGGTGCGTATATTCAGAGAGGGACAGTATGTGTTTGACGTGCTTCTCAATGGAATCTGGCTCTTGTGCTTGTGCTGTGCTGTTTTTAGATGGACGTTATCATAGAAATGAGGTGTTTGCGTACCACACGGGGACGGGACTGATAGCAGACAGGTGTGTCACATTACAAAAACACTCCAATGCTTCTGTTTATGATAGTAAGCCCATATTCAGAGGTCAAAAATGGGCTCTTGCTTCCCCAGAGTACCTCAAATCATTACTGTAAATTCAGCCATCTCAAAACTCTCCTCTTCTGTTGCTTTGTGGGTAATATTTTGCTTGAAAAGCGTGAACAGATGAACATTTCATGAATAATATAATTAGTGTGTGCCAAATCATATATATGATTCGGCACACACTAATTATAATATTGCATATTATTTAGAACAGATAGCATGATTTGGGACAGTCTTCCATTTATATGGATTGTTTCAAAGCACTTTCTCCTGAGGGTTTTATTCCTAACACTCCCTGCAGGACAGATCCAGTTTATATTTAAACACGCTCTGCTGTTCAGAAGTTTTGAAAGGAATTAATACTTTTAATCAGTCTCATTAAACTGAGCAAAAATACAGTGAAGAACAGACAATAAAGTTTAAATTGGTGCAAAATATTTCTGTTTAAATGCTTTTTTACCCTAATATTGTGCTGCACAAATGTGTTCAACATTGATAATAATCAGAAATGTTTCTCGAGCAGC